GGGTACAAATAAAGTATTATTATTATTGTTGTTGTTGTTGTTGTTCTATTTGATGGGCTTGGCCTCATGTAAGCCGTCCCGAGTCCCTTGGGGACATGTTAGCGGGGTACAAATAAAGTATTATTATTATTATTATTGTATTTGACGGGCGTGACCTCATGTAAGCCGCCCCAAGTCCCTTCGGGGAGATGGTAGCGGGGTACAAATAAAGTTTTATTATTATTATTATTAGTATTATTAGTATTATTAGTATTGTTGTTGTTGTTGTATTTGATGGGCTTGGCCTCATGTAAGCCGCCCCGAGTCCTTTGGGGAGATGGTAGTGGGGTACAAATAAAGTTTTATTATTATTATTGTAGTTGTTGTTGTTGTTGTATTTGACGGGCCTGGCCTCATGTAAACCGCCCCGAGTCCCTTGTAGAGATGGTAGTCTCCATTAGGTAAGATGTCTTCATTGGGTTGGTCCCTCACTCTCAAGGATCCCCCAAATGTCGGGTCTGTTGTTGTGTCCCCAAATACATGTTTCTGTTGTTGTTTTGTTACAGGAGGACAAAGGGGCTGCTCCACTGGGGGAGATCTCTTCTTTCTCTTGGTCAAAGATCTCCCAGTCTTGCAATCTTCCATTCTGTCCCCCAAAATTCATGTATTGAATTAGCTGTTTTGTTAGAATGTCCTAAGAACGGTGTTAAGAATATTTGCATCCCGTCTGGTATTGTATGGAATGGGCTGCATCTCTTGAATGCTTGTGTCATATAGGACCCTTTCCAGTTCCTTCTAACCTTTGTTTTGAAGGCGTCTTCCTGTTCCTCTTTTGTGTTGTTTGAATTGTAAACCACTTTGTGACCTCAAAATGAGCTTTGGAAAACAAACAAACTCAGCTTCGCTTCCTGTTTTTTCCCATTTCACAGGAGACGAGCCAAGGGTGCTGGGAAGACCTGGCAGCTCCGCTCTTTCTGATGCAGAAGAAATGGCATCCATTCAGCAAGACCAGGTAAAGAGATGACACTCGAAATGAACTGGAGGTAAT